CGGATGACACAGCTGTACTAGTCAGGCACACTAACCCTGCAACAGCAGTTACACTACTACAAGAACATATCACAAAAATAGAAAAGTGGCTTCAAGCAAAACAAATCAAAGCAAACCCCGAAAAATGCAAACACATTACATTCACACTGCGAAAACAGAAACCACCAAACATTATACTAAATGGCACACACATAATACAAACAAGGCAAGCAAATACCTAAGATTCCACTTAGATTCACGACTCACATGGATGCGGCATATTAAAGCAACAACAGACAAAATACAGATGGCAAGGAGACAAATGTACTGGCTAACAAGTCGAAAATCCAAACTAAGCATAGAAGACAAATAAAAATATATAAAATGGTCATAAAACCAATGTGGACGTACGGAATAGCACTATGGGGAACAGCCGCAATGAGCCATATAACCAAAATAGAGGCAGCGCAATTTAAAATACTCAGAACAATAGTAAACGCGCCATGGTACGTTAGAAACGAGGACATTCGGAAAGACCTGGGAATACCAACGGTCAAGGAGGAGATTAACAAAAGTGCAAGAAGGTACGGAGAAAGAATAGCAACGCACCCAGACCGGCTGGCAGCGGAAACGGTCGACACATCAAGCATAAAAAGAAGATTTAAAAGGAAACACCCAACAGATCTCACAAAGGACATAACCTAACAAACAAACACTTTCGACGGATGGGCGACACGTGTTGTTTTACGAACTTCACAGAGCACTAGACAATCGTCTGCAAGCTTCGGCACTCAACAGCAAACTGTGGCACACATAGGACCGTAAGAATTGTAGACATTCTCGTAGTTTGTGATACTCTATGATTTTAAGTGATAAGAACACGTTGTATCTCTAGTTTTTCTCCGAATAATGAAAATTAGTATATAACCCATAGTAGTTTACCAGATATGATTTATGGTGGTCATCTACGATTTCTTTTCCCACAGGCGAAGGTGAAGAAGGTCAAGTGACCGCCCCTGGAGTTTGAACTTCACATCTTCATGCAGGAGATGCTCCGGAATATCATCAGAAACGAAATGTGTACTCTGGAAACTCGAGAGAAGTTGGATGTCATGGCTAAGATGAGACACGCAGGTACGATAAGCAATAGAGAGAAAAGTAATGATTTTACAGAAAAATGTATAGATTGACAAATGTAGACTTTGCAGAAATCTACAAAATACGACGTATGAAACACTGTATACGATGATTTCTAAAAGGATAGAAACCGTTATCATTTTTTCACTCGTTTGTTATTCGACGTTCGTAATGATAAAAGAAGCGCGCTAACGAATTCGTGCTAACGCATCTCGAAATTTCGTGAAACTGTTCGCCTAGAAATTATGTAAATTACTACTTGGTTACGTGATAAGCTGACTGTGAGCAGTACTATTTAGTACTATATCAAGAAGAATCTCGACAGAAGAAGTCGGAATACAACGATAAATACAAGAATATTATTATTCAACATGTATATATCACATGGTGACCCCTTATATATGTAACCAGTGTCGAGAAGACACGTTCTTTCTATCAAAAATAGTTTCTTAATAATTTTATAACGAACAACGAGCGAAGGCTAATACATGATGAATGAATGACAACCTCGATAACATAGGTGAATGACAAGGGTATTGGAGGTGAGTGCCCCGAACATCAATTCCTACGTATACTATTTGCGACTTGTTATGTAAAGTAACATTTTGTCCAGTTCTCACTGCCACGTATGTTTCCTATTTCGTCGATGGTGTTATATATTTTAACGCCGACTGCTCAAAGAACTAAAAGGTTTGTGAACAAACAATTCAGAAACGAAAGTGGGCATTTAGAACTATCTTATTGTAAAAGATATTTATTTTCTATCATCATTTTTTAAATCTCAAAGGAATTTTCAATGATGAATTATTGTTGTTATAGTATAATTATCTCTTAACATTTGGTTGGTGGAAAAAGAAAGAAATTTTAATCATTATACGGAAAAATATTTATTTTCAGTGAACTGATTTAATATAGAAATTATTAGTAGTAAATATTACAATTTTTCTCTATATAATCATTTTGTTGTTTAGCATAACGTAAAGATATGCCGCAGAATTTTTATGTAGAAATCATCTTTAAACAAACACTTAAAGGTGATGTATTAACGTTCGCAGATGTTATTGTACTAGAAACATCGTGGAGTAAAGGTATTGTCATGTATGATAAATCAGAAACCGTGTGCATATAAATATATCGGAGATGAAAGGACATCGGAGCCTTCCCTTTGGAACTTCGGGAAACCCCTTTAAGACCGTAATCTAGATTCTATCATAGGCGTAATTAAACAATTGTCGTCTTTCGATCCGATTGTATTTGTTCGAGATTTGTGATAATGAGCTTGGGCTCGAGGCGACAGCCAGTCGCCGAACGTAGC